GTGTGTGTGTGTGTGTGTGTGTGTGTGTGTGTGGTGTACGTGCCGTGTGAAAGTGTGCGTGTTTCTGTTGCACAGGTGATACGTATTTTGTTGGAGATTGATACCGTTCTCGGTCAGTTGCCGTATGATTTTCCTGTCCCTGTCAATACTCTAAACGCTTGAACTTACGTGACAATTAATCAATGTATAAATAGTCGTATAGATTGAGCTTGAATGGTCACGGGATGAGCCATTGCACATTTCTCGTTGTTTTTACGCGCAAGATATTCGTTTTCCTAATTCCATTTCCATGTATTTTACGAATAAGTACCTATAAGAGAACGGTTCTCACGGTATTTGCGGTACGTTTTTGTTGTCCGCACAGCAGACCAGAATTCACGGATTTATAAACTGGTCATCTATTTTCCATTGATAATTGTGAGATAACTGTATCGCGTGGAAGTGTTTTGAAACTGTATTTCTTACTGAACGGACACATTTCATTAGAAAAATTGTTCACGTCTCGCGCGTACTACGACGTGGCCCAATCCGTGCAGAAATTTAAATAAATCCGCAGGAACAATGTCCCCCGGAGTGTACTAACGCTACTTATGTATTTACAGTAACCTTAATTACAGATCAGACCGATCGACGCGTAACACCTAATATAAAAAAAATAAAAGGACCACTAAATTAACGACACCAAGGACCGATCGATGTATGAAGCTACGTCGATTCTGGGTTTTCGATGCACTTATCGTCCTCGCTACGCGCGAACCTAGCTGAAAACGGAAACTCGATTTCGAATTCGTCGCAGACTCGTTGTGCCGCGGAATTGAAATTCTAAATGTTGAAGTTATTCGCTCATTACGAATAATCGTTAAAGAGAAAAAACCGAGTGCTTCGGAAGCCCTGGTCCGAGCTGTTCGCGAGACCTGAGATGCCCTGCGGATGATACGAGGGATAACAAGCGAAATTTTCTTCCTTACGGAAGCAATCTTGTAAGCTCCATCCCCAACGGAGTCGATCATTAACTGTCTGAACGATCGAACTCGCGGGTCAGCTTTTGATAAAATCGTTTTCGGAACGTTCGATGACTAGTTTCATTTGAAATATCGGCGGAACTTCGATCAATTGGCTAATTGTCGTGTCGTTCAATGGAAGAATATCGCTTCTGACTCTATGAAATTCTAAAAATATCGAAAGTGCACCATAACAGTATGATACGAAGCCTTCTTTTGGCTACGTTGAGAAAGCCTTTGAACTGACCCAAGATCGTTCGATCGTATGTGATCGACGCGTGTGAGGATTTATCGGAGACGAATTCGGTAATGTGCGCGTTTAAAGGTTCCCCCGTTTATTCGTCCTTCAGCGTCTTCTTCGTTCGGGCTTTTCTGTACGCCTGCTGGTAGAAGTCGGAGAACAAGACGAAGAAGATCGTCGAATGAAGCAGAAGAAGCGCTGCTATCAGCTTCGGGTAACCACAGTCGAACACCAAGGCCTGGGCGCTGTGCACGAACACCAGAAAGAACTGCACCTACAAAGGTTATAAGAATCGTATGAGTCACGAGTATTATCCGCAAGGTAAGTCGAACTTTGAAATTGTATCAATTTTTAAACAGGTTTATCCTCGTTCGAGTACTCGGACTATACGAATCACCGATAGTTTGATGTTGGTTCATCTGTAGGATAATATCGAGGTCGTTGTAATATCATAACGACCCTTCAGACCTGTCATTTGAAGGGTTTCCTTAGAAATGTAAATGAGGGTGTACGTGTGGTTAGTGGAGTGCAGTGAGTGTTAACGTACAGAAAGCGGACATGACAGGAAAATCGATAGCGGAACAAGCTGGCTTAAAATCTAATAGATATAATATAACGTTTAAGCAACCGTTCTGGTGAACTCTGTTCACCGCCTACAGTGGATGTAAGAGGTGTTCGTAAATTTTTAAACTATGTTTTAAAATAGCCCAACTTTCTAAAATGTGCTACTCAGAGGGTTAACGAAACTTAATAGTAGAACCACTTCAACCGATTGCCCGGTCACAGTTTTTCTTAACGAATGTTTGATATCAAATACCGAGAGAGTGAGAGCGAGAGATTTATGGTCACAAAGATGGCGCGTTGAAACGTTCTGCGTTTCCATCGTAATTAAACGAACATAGTTTGGTAACCACGCGCGGTCACGTGGCCATCTAGCTGCATTAGAGGTGCAAAGTGTTGCAACCCGAAATCGTGTCACGAAGATACACACACGGCGCACGGTACACGGGACCGACGAATTAACGGACTATGGATTATACGCGATCGCTGTAATGACGCAAGGATAATGCAGAACGCTTTGAATACTTTGTGACCGGTTAGATCCCGCTGGCGAATCTGGCGCAACCCTATCTTTCGATCGATTAAACCCCGGAAAGTGAAATTTCTATTGCGCAGACGAGAGACGTGTAATTTCATCGCGTTCGAAATAAATTGGCCACTGACAGAACAAAGCAGCCAAAAGGCCTAATGCCCGCCCTGAGTAAAAGGCGTCCACACGTGTGTAATTCGACTATTCGACCATGTCCAGTTCGTTGTCTTTATTAGTTTCATGCAACGACTACTTTACTGGTTTCGCCGTGTGTTGAAAACAAAAACAACGATTAATCCGAAAACCACTGTTTCGAAAGTTTCGAATCATTTTGAAACTCTGTTTTCATTACTGACAATAATTTCTAGCCGCCTGTCCGATATGTACGATTTCTCTTCGAATGTTTTTACTTTTCAAATTGGCTTCATGTGACCACTTTTTTCTCCATTAATCAGTGTATAGTAAGTTTGTAGTGACAGTGTTACGGAAATTTGAACGATTTCCTGTAGGACAGAATTGATTATTCTTTCTTGTTCTTGTGTCTGGCGTGGTTTTCACGTTTATGTGGTTGTTATGCTGTTCGCCTGAAATGACAGGAACTTTGGTAAAATTGACTGGTATGTACTCGTAAATCTGTACCACCGTGAAACCAAGATTCTATAATATATGCACGTTTCGACATATCCTCGGCGAAGATACATGTGCCATTGCTTCTTCGTGCAACTGCAATTACCAATATTCTTCTCATCTAAACTCGCTTGAAGCTTTCTATATTCTTATTCACTTATGTATTTAACTATATATCCGTCCATTCTATCGCATTAAATCACATCTATGACCAAACGATTCCGTAGATAAGAAGTTAATATTATCCGAACACGCTAAAAGTTCATCAACAAGTCATTCAAGTATCACTTAAATTTACCCTTTTTAATCGCTGTTGAAAAATTGTTCAAACGACCCTCGAAAAGGTTTCGCAAAACTCGGCCTTTACGTTCACATTCTTAGAGCCGAAATACTTTGCCTGAAAAGAACATTTCGCTTTCAACCACTTCGCCCATAGCCTAATCAAGCACTCGCGGAGTTGTTCGTTTGCGTTCGAAAGGTAATGTCGCGCAGTATGTTCCACGGACGGTTGCGGAACATCTTCTTGCAGGAGACACGGAGGACATTTCGTGATGAATGCAACACAGGGAGAAGCGAATACTATCTCCACGAAAGGACGGTGCACCGACGGGATTCAAGCGGCTTCAAGATGTCTTCAGGAATCGGGATATCCCGGTGTATGTTGCAAGCGTATAGCGATTGAATGTTTTGAAATTTATGGAAATTCTTGAAACTCATAAATAACTCCAGTCTTTCGAAGTTACAGTAACGCTCGGATATTTGTCCCAATTCTTCTTTGGCTATTTACTACGATTGGTATCCCTTTTATACCATCTTTGGTATCTTTCCAGTGAGCTTCTAAAATTTAGCCCAGAGAACTTTTTTGACATCACATAGAATATATATTTTTAATATAGTATAGAGATTGTTGAACTGTAGTACCGATTTTTATAGGACCATATCCAAGATTAATTATAGTCTTTCAGCGTTGTCTTTGACATCTATGTTGACTGTCTATGCCCGTGTGATATTCTGGACATAAACTTACAGGTATTACTCATACCAGAGCACCGTTATTCTAAATGGAAAATATCAAAGATTTTCAAGCACATTTCAGTTTCAAGACATCGTCGATACAGTTCAAAACACTATGTTCTAGGCTTGCTGGAAAATTCTCGAGCGAGAGATCGAAGTGACGACGCAAACAACGTCACCTGTTCTTTGATAGATCCATTGGCGATGGTCTCGCGGGATAAAATGAGGTGGCCTAGCATATAGGTGAGGTTTCATAGGCATGCAGCCGGTTCGTGGTACTTCAGCATCGACGGCGATGGCGATTGCGCTGGTGGTGGCACTAAGCTATACGGCATATCGGAATGCCAAATTATTGCGCCACCGCTAACATAGTCGGCCGTGTCCGGGCAAAGCAAGTCAGCCTGCAATTGCCTAACGTTTTACTTTTAAGAATCCGTGGGAGTAGGTACATGTGGCCTGTTCGCCGACGGATATCTATCCTTCCTACGCGTCCTTGCGTTCGCGTTGACCACGATCCTAGATCCTCGTGGAAAATCGAGTCTTTTTCCTCGGGGTGTCGGCCATCGCGTGGTTTTACGATCGTCTGAACGGGCTTGGCGTTCCTTTGACCGCAATGGGCTCGATGGGAAATAATGAGCACTTAATAGCCTGTCTGTTGTAAGTTCTCGCTTAGTTTGGCCGTGTAGAGGTCCCGATTCCGTTGAAAGTCTTGTTCAAGAGTAATTCGAAGATTTCAAACGGTGGCGTTGCTGTAATAGGCTCGGTCGATCGGTGCTTACACGACTGTTCTTTGAACTCTTGAATTTACGTTGGCATGTTAGTCTCGTGTATTTTTAAAGATCACAGGGCCTTCAAAAATTTCTGCAGTATTTGATTAATTTCTACTGTGTATTACATACGATACAGTATTTACAAAAGTCTCAGACCACCAAATATAGCTACGGGATACGTACTCGGGATTATTCGTACAAAGTACACCCGGCCCTTGATTTACGCGGAGTGTTGCTACACGTGGTTCTTGTTTATGCGGATAAAAACCGTCTAAATGGTGTCTGCCTTTACGAAAAAAAATTCTCAAGAGAAAAGGCAGTACAAGTTATAAAAATATTTATTTAGAAAAAAACTAAATGGAACGAATACTCCGCGTAAATCGAGGGACGGGTGCACTAACAAAGTCAAGTTGACACCGAATATTTTGAAATAACGATACGGTTTAAAATATACTTTCTACGACAAGTGGTCTACAACTTTTGCACAGCGCTCTGTGTATTTAGAAATGTGGATCGGCGCCATTGAAGGCTTATCCAGACTTTCCAGATTATCTATCTTCGTAACAAATTCAATACGATGATGATGTCATCAAAGAGACTCCCTAAATGTGATAAATACTACCTCCTACTTCTACTTGAATAATAAGTGTACGAGCTCTTAAATTTCCATTCTGGACCACTGGGCGACTCCTCAAGGTGTTAATATCGTACAGAAGGAAACCAGCCTCTCTCTATCTAATGTACTAGGTACACCAGTAAGTAATCCACTATTTTTCGTGGTGCTTTCTATTTCCTTTGAAACAATCCAACACCCTATGCTATATTCTCATTATTTGTTATTTCGTCCCATCATTCACCCGAATTCCGACCAAACCGAACATCAGAAATGTATTCCGAACCGACTGTACTTCTAATACATTCGAACAATGGTGGATTACTTATTGGTACATCTAATAAACATTGCGAATCGCCAGGTGAGCAATTTGCACACAATGACGCGCTCTAGCGATCGTTTGTTTTGCTATAGACGATTCCTACGTGATCTATTAAATATCTCGGGCGCCAGTTCTCTTCGTACAATCGATAGGCAGCCGTTGATTGCGGCAATGTCGCGTTCGCCTGGGGCTTATCCGGCCAAAACTTATGCCATGAATCCGTCGAGCGTTCCGCATCGGACGCACTCACGCCGATGCACCCCGCAAGAGTTAGTTGACGGTCGGTTCTGTAGCCGCCGTGTAGTGTCCGTTCACTTTCATCGATGCAGAATATTATCCGGCCCCGGGTCTACACTCCCGGGGCATTGTGCAAGAAGAAGGTATCGCGAATCGCGCTTCGAAAACTATTCGGTGCTCGGTGGCCGCTTATTGCGCGATCTTTCGCCGTGGTCACGTGTACGCACATGTCGGAGCTGCGCCTGTCCAGATCTGGTTTCGATGATTAAAATGTATCCGCGTGGCGGACCACGACATTCTTTTCCCCCACCCTCGCTGTACAGGACCTAAGTAGTCGAGATTTGACGCGGTACCACAAATTTTTCAACTTATACAGATCCTTGCACCTTTATTGCAACATTTTTTTTTCGCATGGTTTTGTATTTCCACACAAGTGTCTAGAATGTTGGCGGATGAAGAAATTGCACGATTTAATAAGATCTACTTTCCTGTAACTTTACTGGCGTTTACTCTTGCTTTAATCCTTTACTGGTCAGGTAGAAATCTTATTATTACAAACCGTGGTATATACGAATCTTATTACGTATCCATACGACAAAAATCATTAGAAGTTTGTACGTATCGTTTTGATAATAGAAGCGCAGACAGTAACTTCTTTTTAAGTCCAGTAAAATTTCATTCGTATGAGTTTTGTTTATTGTAAAGCGAAAAGTGTACAAGTATTGATTCTAGAATCTTGTTTTCACACGTTGCAAGAATGTACGGAGGTGCGTCAACCTTCAGGGGCATCTCTGCCTTGAAACGAAGAGGAGAATTTCGTTCAAGAGTATATTATATATTCTAGGCCTTTATCAAGTTTACGTGGATTTCAAATTCGAATGTATATCTGTTGGTTACTCTTTCTCCAATAATGTGCATCATTTAATTTCGAACAACAGTACATTCCTCTTGAGTGAACATTCACTCAAGGGGAATATTCGGTTTAGATTACGTGCACTAGTTGCACCACGTGCAATAGATTACGACTGGTTGCATGATTCGTTAGTTCCACTATAAATGTTTTGCAAGATGAAAAGATGCGAACTAGGTGTGGTAACAAAGATCGAGAAATATCGAGATCATTGCGCGATGGTCGATTGAACTGTGTCGACGAAAGGTGTTGCTTTTTCTGTTCAGCGAACGGTTCGTTTTTCGTTTATAGGCAATTTCTTGTTCGAACGAGTGGACTGCGGATAAAAGCAGAATCTATACGATTACGTAATTTACTTGGTACTTAAAACAGTTTCAAAAGTTTTACACCGTTCAATGATTCTTGATTCTGCTTTATACAGGGTGGTTCGTTAATGGCGACACGATCGATAGGGAGTAGTAATTGTTCATGAGAAAATAAGTCGAAAATTGATCTATTACGTGATAAATGGAAACGGAAAATAATGAACAACCGACCTCTATTCAATAGCAGGTGTACTTAACAAATTTTCATCACAAATTTGATTTTAAACTTATTTCCTCGAGAAAAATCATCTATTTGTCGATTCTATCATCAATAGCGGATTGCGTTGTAAACATATAAGATGAGAGGAACAATACGTCGGTCTTAAAGGATACAACATAGCTGTAGAAGACAAATATATCATGAGACATACTCCGTATCTCCAGGAATTAATCAACCTACCAGCTGCACGGTGGTTAGATGCTTCTTCCACCACAAATATTTTTGATACTCGGGTCCCATCGCGGACACCATGTAATACATGTACATTATCACGTGTACGGCATTGTTTATAAGATTGCCCAGGGTGCCGTGGCCACCGGCGATGAATTTCACGCAGATCCACGTCTCCAAGGGTGTCAGAGAGTGGTGGTACAGGTGCAAGAAGGTTACTTGGCTGTCCTTCTTACGCAGAATGAAGAATATCTGAAATTTCGTAGGGGACGTCAGTCATGATATTTTCCAAAGAGAAACTATACTTTCGGGTAAAAACGTTTAAGCGCTTCATTATATGCACTAATATACAGGGTGACAATGAAAAGGGGGTGAATACGTTCCTAAATATAAAAATTAATTTTACACCGAGAGGATTGATATCAGAACCTACCCCCCATTGATTAGACATTTTTTCCTTCTCTCGGCGAGTACTGTAAGCCCCTAAAGTCTTAGACCCTTTTCTTTTAATCATCCTGTTTTCACAATAAGAGACACGACAATCTATGTTATTTTATTCGTTATGTTCGATAATCAATAAGAGGACAGTCGCAAGACAATCACGGCGTTGCACAGGAAAAGTAAAAGTGACTGTTGGTCCGCGAAGGACCAGTTTCCCGGTGCAAAACTGTTCCGAAATCACGGGTTTCCGCTTCATTGATCGTTTTCGTACGTCTGGCATGGAAATCAAATGAAACTCGGCATATCGGAACACGAAATTTGAATGGAACAAATGTTACTGCCGATCCTTTCCGTTTTCGTAATTTCGATGCATTTGCAGAGAGGGAGTTGTACCTACCGTGTCAGCGAATTCCGTGAACTTGCTGATGAAGTACCACCAACAGAGGTTCGCCATTCGCAACGCGGACGGGTTGTGGGAATAGTCCACCGGTTGACACTTGTAGCTGTAATCCAAGAGCCAGCCGGACATCAGGTGCTGTGGAGAAGGAGTTTACGGTCAAGGTATATTACTCATTGTCTCGTGTAAAAGCTTTATAGTTTCTATCGTAGGAAATTAATAATTTCAGATCTGAGGTCATCGTTAAGTGTAAGTGATCTATGATCTCTGGATTAGATAGTTGTGTGTATAAGAATTCGTACGGTCCAATAGGTGACGTTGAGTAGGGGCCAATATTTCGATCGATATAATCAGTAGGTACTGCTTTCGAGTTCTCGTAGACATTACTACGTCACGGATATACATATACTCGTACAATATAAATTAATAGTTATATTCTTTTCGTACCATTTCTACCGCGAAAAGAAGGGGAATACTTTTCAACAATGCACAGGAACTAAGTTGCAGACGAACTCAAAGTGAAAGGTTCTGAAACGGCACTTGTCTAAGAAATTGCATCCACCAGAGATCCAGATTCTGGAGTTTTTTTGCAAGATATTTTCTAATGTTTTACTTCTTATTATCTCATCGTGAGAAGATAATCCAAGACGCAACTTTCTAAGATGATGTTCGAGCATGTATATGTATATGTATATGTATACAATGTTGCTCTACGTTCTACCTGGTTTGGTGGCCTGAATGTATCAACGATCCCTCGAGATAGTGGACATGAAAGCTTGATTCTTTCACGAGTTACTGATAATGAAAGATTGAAACCTCTTTACAAAATGTTTCTCTATAGGGTGTTCCCAAAATCGTGATAAGACCGGTCGGGTTCATGCAAAAACTTGCAAAAATAAGTCGAAAAAAATAATAACATTTTTTCATTTAAGGTTTTGTTTTCGAGATAATCGAATTTGAATTTCTGATGGATACGCGCATAATTGAGTTGGCCAGCGCGTCTGGTCATTGCATTCCGTTTCCACTTACTACCATACGAATACACGCATTTCAGATTAATTTCTAAATTCGATTTTCTCCAAAACTAAGCCTCAAACGAAAAAAATGTATTCTTCTGTTTCGACTTATTTCTCCTTATAAAATCACCACACGATCGGTTGTATCACGATTTTGAGGACAACCCCTGTATAAATCAGTTGAAAGGTTAGTAGGTGCGACGCGAGTTTGCAACCGCATTCGTTCTTCTTCAATTCAGTATCCAAACGAGCACACGTCACTCTCTAGACGGTCGAATTGCGAACGAGCGTGTTCGTGGAAAGTCGAAAACAGGATGCTTCGCCTTTAACGAACCGCGAGTGTACAAATCGATTAAGCAACCCGCCTTCGAAAGCCTCGCCGCGAGTTTCGTCCATTCGCGCGATTTTCTTTCTCCCTTTTCTCTTTCCGCAACAACGTTACGGTTTTCTCACCCTCTATCCCAAACGACCTCGATTCGCAATTGTAAACAAACAACTGCTTTGATGTCCCCATCTCGAAATTTCGAATCGGTTTCGTTACGAGCGGCTCGCGTGGCAAACGCCGCGCTTTTAATTCGCTGTAAGGGTGTCGCAATCGCGACATCGTGCTGCTTGCATTTTCTCGGAAGGAATTTATTAAACAATCTTTCTTTTTCACAACGTGCACACGCTGTATGTACCGATCGATTGTTTATCAACTCGGCCAATGACACACCAACCGGTCGACCCTTGTCAAATTATAACGCCAAATATTTGTAATTTCTCACAGGAACATTGTTGTGGAACGGTTCTCCCGCAATACCAATATCTATTATTCTATTAGGTGTATCTAAAAATATATCTAAATTTATTGGGAATTAGGAAATTCCGAGTGCAAAGGGTTAATTGAGTGAAAAGTGTTGTTTCGCAGCGGACGATTAACTCCTCGTTAAGTCGTCGAAAATGGATGCCAACCCGGTAACCTGTAAGACAGTCTAATGTTGTCAACGTTATCAGAGAATGATCATCGCCACTTGTCCAGTCATTAGTCACGGGAATTGCGCGAGCCGGCCGTGTAATTCAGACAAATGCGTTTCACAAATGGTTTCCCTCGAGTCCGGTCGAAAGTGAGCAAAGTCCTCTCGGGAACCCAAATGTATACTGGTTCAAGGTGACTGGTCCAAACAACGGATGATTTAGCGTGTCCTTGGAAACATATGAGAAAAAAATATCGGTCGTTCACCGTGTACCTCGGTCCATCGGTTTCTCATTCCTTCGGCGTGTATGATTGAGGACGTTGCTTTGATTTCTCGATTTAGCACTCGAACTTCGAGATACGAATTCGTTAATTAAGCAGTATATCAAAAGAATCGTGGAATGAACGGTGAAATTAGCGAGTCGATCGTCACCTGAGTTCAACACTCTAGAGACGAAGATTGAGTTTTTGTTTTTGAAGAGTATTTATATTGTTTTGGATAATGCAATTTTCGTTTCTAACAGATTTATCATGGGTCATTAAATACGTATTTAGAAACTTCGAGTAGATGTCCATGTCATAGTCGTGTCTTCTCGGGTTGAAAGTGATCCAGATGGAACACTTTTTAAGTCTTGTAATTATTTTCGAGCCTCCAGCAGACGCTAGAGATGTAACGATTTATCTGTTACGACTCTCTGAGCGGTGTCTGTGAAGCGCGCGGAGTTGTTGAACAACCTGTCGTACTTCGTGGTTTTGTTGGACGCAAACGCGGCGCTACCATTAAGTCTGCGGTATTGCTGGTTGAACTAACGACTATTCGGAACGGATGTGTCCGTTTAATGATTAATTGCTTCGAGAAATTTGTTGATTTCTACTTACTGATATACTCGAACAGTATATGTCCGTGAACTTAAACTTGAACTGCCCCAAATTATACTTGTTTAACCCTTAACTACGGACCATTCGACTAATCCCACAACGACTACTTTGTAATATTTTTAATATGCAATTAAATGATATTTTTCCGTACCGTTTTGGAAATAATGTGCCACTTACTGTCAGTTGAAGGTACTCGAATTTTTAAAGCTTCCAAAATTCTTCGCTTGATTGTGATAGTAAAAGAAAAATTCAAATTCATCTCTGAGACGAGTGGTTTTCAGTTATGTATTAACAACAATTATATGTATCGATATCTGACACATTCCATCAAGTTTAATATATTTATTAGAAGTTAACGGTAATTTAGGTGCACGATTAAATGTGACATATTTTCCTACACAAAGTCCCCTGTATTCATTGTATTATTCACGTTTTCAGTAAAACCCTATAAAAACAAGAAATCGGTAGGTCGTGTAAATTACGACCCCTCGAACAAAGTGCACCTGACTTCAAAGATCACGATCAACGTCACCTTAACGTTTGAATCACACGGTTTAACGGGCTTTCACTATTGCACTTTGGACGCAAGGTTCGAATTAATACTAAAATAAACCGGCGTATTTCAGTTGCGCTGCTTCCTCGCGGGGAACACTTCTCTGCGTCGTTGTCTGACATTTTTGTCTAGCGACCCACTTGCGTTTACGATCCACCGGGGGGATAGAGAGAGGTCTGGGAACCCTGAACTCCCGCCGGTGCATCGATCTTTAACGAACGTAAGACACCTCCTGTCCTCTACGGCTCGCGAGTACATCCTTGCGAGTACCAAACTACGTAATCTAGGTGATTTAGAGAAAGTCCGTGGAATTTCGAAATGTTCCTTGGACCTTGGAACAAGTAAATCGGTTGACGGCTCCCGTCCGTCTTTACGGTCTCCGTAGACACGATTGATCCGTGAAACTTCTCTCGACTGTTTTTGTTGAGAATCTCGTAACTCATCGGAATCGCTATCCCGTTACTTCGAAATGGCGATCTAGATATGTCGTTGTGAGGAGAAAAACTACTTTCTAGCAGAAATAGTTACCTCTCTTCTCGATAGGTAGGATAACAGTTGATTTTTTTCTCATAGACGACAGACGTGCGTTCTTAATGACGAGTATATTTATACACGGTGAGTCATTCAAAGCAAACTTCGTAGATATCTGCGAATTCGGTGGAAATACCGAAAAATATTTTGGATAAAAATTAGTTGGTTTTGAAGGGGAAATAATTTGATGTGAGTAGTTTTTTTTGTAGGTTAAATTGTTTTTCTTTTTATATGTGATTATATATTTTTTAATGCATTAGTCGGCGCAGCTTTCGTCATTCCTTATAAAAAAGTATTAAGCTGTTTATGCCAAAGAGAAATTCCATCTAAAAAAAAAAACAAATTTGAGACGTAATATGCTTTTTACGCGTATGCTACTACTCGCATCAAAATGTTTTTTCCTAGAAACAATTCAACTTCTATCCGAAAACATTTTTAGCATCACCAACGGTTCTGAAGATATTCACTGAGATTGATTTAAACAACTTACCCCTGTATTTGTACTTGAGTATTACACCTGCCTTTTATAACCGCCATTGTTCTCGCGAAACAACCCCCCCCCCGTACGCAGTGTCTCAAGCCTAAATAACCTTGAAATTTCTAGTTTTGCGAAAAGCTTACAGAATACTCCATATATCTAGAAACACGATACTTTTGAATCTTAGACGCTTACCTCGTACATCATTCCCAGCGAGAAGACCACCTGGAACGCGTTGTACGCAACCAAAGCTCCCCTGAGCTTGAAGGGCTTCCTGTTCGCCATCACTCGCGGTCCGAATATCGTCACACCGTACAGGTAGAGAACCACGATGAGAAAGGTCGGGATAGGGGAGTCCATCAGGGGCCAGTCGCTGACACGGGGGTCCGAGATCGTGGTCAGTATTTCCGTGTATTGATCGAGGGCCATACGGACCAGTCCTTGGGCACCCACGCCCATGAACGTCCTGTTCACGTCCGTCATCTCCATCAACGGTTCCGGTTCCCTCTCGACAACCAGCTCTGCCGCCGCAGACGCCATTTCTGCGAACAGAGGTACACACGTTTTGTTTCTTTGTTAAAATCTCAGTGATTTCCTATTTGGGGGCTCGATAATTGACGCCTGCCGACGATTTCGACGACTGGCTTCGATTACATAAACCCGGGTATTTGCGAAATTTTCAAGGACAAGTGATGATCGTCGACGATATACAGGAATATGATGTTCGGTACTGATATTGCCAAGTCACAACAGTATATCTGTAATTTCCAGCCCCTTTGTAATAGATTTCTACCGTTTCGAAGGTGTCCCGTCACCGTTTGCCGTGTTTTCATCGTGATTTTTGAAAAAAATTCTGCACGTACTCCCAACAATTTATTGCTCTCTAGTCAAAGTCACTGTCAAAAGTCTCAACGTAGACAGGTTGATTTTGTTGAATTAAAATGAATTCTTAGCACACACAGAACCTTGCATTATCGTGCATTGAGTCTGGAACAACAGCAATCTCGAACATGCTACTCCATTCTCAATCAGATTCCAGTCAGGCAGACTCTAAGATCTCACAACATTGTCAGTCACTCACATTGTCAGTTATTTAACATCGATTTGCCGATATTTATCTTACGAAGTACGTACGATGCATCCCGTAACGAAAGAAACAAGCTACGCGCATCGAAATGATCGTCCATGATTTACCGTCCAAGCGATCTAGTCGAATTCGAGTCAGGAAGGTGCACTGATCCGTGTTTCTAGGCACGTTCGCGGGATCGCGTGCGGTACAAAGAAACACCGATGTTGATCGACGATCGTGTCGCATGGAAATGGAACGCGGGAGGTCAGGAAGTTCGTCGAAGACGTTATCCTCGAGGGTCGTCGTTGCATCGTCGTCGTTTTCGCTCGTTTATCGAGCTGACAGGATGCGACCTTCTATCATTGTCATTGCGTCTCGAATCGTGACGGTGAATTGCCGTCCACTACATTGACGCTAGCGCCTGATTCATGAATGTTGTTTGACAAAATTACGAGCGTACGACTGACATTATTCAGTTGTTTCACGCAACATGTCGTTTTTGCCCATAATCGTGCGTTTTTACGAAAACCCATGGTTTTTACAAATAGAGCAATTTTCCTTCTGGATTCGTATTTAGGACGAGAAACTCTACAAGTGCACTCGGTGGATATTACAGATCAATCTATATTTGATATTTCTGGACCTTATAGTTTTTGATAGTTCACAGTAATTGGAAGTGAGCCACAACTTGGAAACAGGAGACTTGGTCTCGAGGCAGAGAAAATACTTGTAAATTTGCCGACAACGTTTACCAATCACCTTATAGCCATACAGGGATCTAGCTCAGTCAGCAGAGATCGAGATTCAGCGAATCAATCGCCTCTTCTGCAGAATCACCGATAATTACTGTCGTTCGATTCCCTCTCTCCGAATGCGTCGCGGAGTCCTGATTCTTCGATTGCTCATCTGTCGATAACGATGCGCCATGACTAGTTGTTCTGTGCTGGAGATGTTACGTTTTCGACTCTTTTCAATTCTAGCCATCGAGAAGCGATGCTTTTCACCGAAACGAGGTTTCCGGTTCGAGTGAAACGCTCTATATTCCCGATCGTGCTAGGATTTTAGACGCTTGCATCGATTAGTTTGTTGTACAGCGAGCAACAGAAGTATTCGAATAGCAGGATACGCAACGATTTATTGTTAAGTAAACTCTATCGCTTTCTATTCCGCTTTACCGGATCATCCATCGATCTCCTTCGTCCATTGTATCGATTGTTCGTTTACTGGTTAGCTTCGAAATCTACAACTGGAAACAGGTGTTACGAAAGTAGATCGAGCTCGAGTCTCTTACTAACCAGAGTTCGAAAACCGAGTAGATATATGTATAGATATTCGGAAAGTTTGCTCCGGTTCTAGGTGGCGAAGTGGGTCAGGCTGGTGGAGACAATTAACAACTATTCGCAAACACTTCGTGCGTTGGTCATAGTTATGTCAGTTATACTATGTGACCATAATTCGCTCTTCCAGATCATTATCCAGTTCTTGTTTAGGTTGTAACAGAAACTAACAAATGACCTTTAACTGTGCACTCTATTCGTGTGAAGGTCCGAGGGAAACTGATAACGAGTTATAATTCTTGAGAATAATTTAACCCGTTTGACGGTAGAATTTTCTTTTGGAAATGTGTATCTGTGTGCGTAATTAAAATCAAGCGATGACGAGTATACTCGTCAAACACCATTAGATGGTTAAGAAACAAAAGTGAGCATCAATTTGTGAATAACAATCGTTTCGTGGCGAAAATCTATCCTTCTAAACGATTGCGTGCCAATGCTTTTCCACGCTTTTCTCGTCTCGAACGGCCGTTAACTGGCATCTTATAACCGGTTTACGATGCGTTTCGGTCAGCCGTTAGCACAGACTTTTGTGACAGACGCCGCGTAATGTTATTAATGATATGCGCGCGGCCTGACATTTAAATTGTCAAATACAGTAGTAGCTTCACACGGGTTTTGTAATCGGAGTGTCCCGTCCATTTGAATAATTGTGATAATTCGAGCACAAACGTCCTGCTTTATATATGTCCCACTTTTATGAATATTCGATCGTGAGTATTTCTGGAGATTGAAGTTTTCCTCACAGGACAAGACGCATTATTCCGTTATTATTAAAACTTTCCAGGCGCACCTCTTCCTCGTGAAGAATGCCGTTTGTTTGTTCTATATTAAATGAAATTTAATAGAGTCCTGATTTAATTAAAATGTTCTGTACACAATTCTTCGGATGTTAAGTTTGTATCAAGTAAAATAAATAAAATGGCAGTATTAGGGACACTGGAAGTAATTGGGATCCAGGATTACCCTGTTTAAGTGATCTCGAAGAGTCCCAGACTTTCATTTAGGATGAACATTTGACTGTCGTCTTTCGGCTTTCGCTGTCCGAGAACCGCATAGCAAGCGAATAGATCGAGACTAGGCAAATATTTCCACTCGGTTCTCTTTTTTCTTAGAATTTGTCATCGATATTCAACCATCGAATTAGGTACCATTCGTTCGCCTGCCCAGACAGATTTTTCCGAACGCGCTTTCTTTTCCTCTAACGAAACGTAAGTCATTTGGAATTTCAGAACTCTGGACTTTTTGGTAAATGGCCCAGAAGATGAGAGTTTTATCATCTAGTGTATCTAGATTAATAGAAATAGTTTTCTTTATACATATTTTTTAAACTTACGTCGTATGAATTGAATATTGGCTTTCGCTTAAATTGCATTGTTTTTTTGAACATATAAAACTTATTTTCATTGCAGATTTTTCTGATAATTATATAAATCCTATATTCTATAGTTTAATGAATAAACTCAAATTGTTTGAAATTGCGATATACGATGTTTTTCATTACAGTCACTGATACTTTATGCGTATTTTGCTCGTAACAATTAATAACATTTCTGATTTTCGTCTTAATGTAGTATATAGAATCCATCCTGTGAAAGTGTCCCACATTTTTATTAACACCCTGTATATGCAATAAGTAGAAACGGCATGCAACGAACAGACATGGTACCCAAGTCCTATTCAGTTGCACGCATATACAGCATATTTTCGAATTCGACTATTGTATCCGGCTGTACCACTCGTCCTGCACCATCTTGTAGATCTTCGGTTGCGTTAGATCGTCCATCTTCCTCGACACTGTCGTTTTTTCCGGCTGGGCCGGTTTGTCGAGTGGATTCCAGCGAAATAATGCATCGCGCATGAAAGCGCAATCTGGAATCTTGTTAGACACGCCGAGCAGCTCGTTCGAACTAGACCAGAACCAGCCGCGATCTCAGAGAGCCCCGTCCATCGAACGTGTGCTAAGGCCAGCGCGCGAGCAAATGAGCTTTTGCGTAACAGAATCGCAGGTTTCGAGCCGCGAAAACTGGAGTAACGGTCATACGCAGCTGCTCCGAGAAGGTTGCCCAATGTCGTTGCATCGTCCTTTTCCTCTTTCGCGATTTCCTCGTCCCCGGTTTTACCGCTTCAGGGGTACTCGAATGGAATGCCGTTCCTCGAGTCGACCAAATCCTTGTCGCTCATGTCTGAATTTCTTATGGGCCACACTGCAATGATCATTTGGGGCCAAAAGACATGAAAAGGTCGTCTTGAGGCTGTGAGAAAGACAGTGGTGTCATGGGTACCGGTTGTATGGGGGGGGGGGGGGAAGAGTTGAGTGTTTTCATGCAAGATTGTTCATACGATCGTTGTTGTACTGCTGTCTGAAGAGTTAACCATTAAAGGACGAGCAGGTTTTTTCACGAATTTTTATATTTTCATACCAGAATTTTTATATATTTGTCATAGCTTTTTACTACGAAAATAAATGACCCCTCTGAAGCCTAAAAATAGGCTTCTCGTCTTCTACAGGTTAAGTAATTGGAGACGCAGGATTTGGGTTAGGTGATTCAAATTGAACGGCTGTCGTCAATAGACGATGAGACGAAAATTTTGTGAAACACAGTTGTCGTCGATAAGCAATTTTAAAATGTGCTATGATGCGGGATCGCTTATTGGCGATTGCATTGCTATATGTTATTTATATGCCTACTTACTGTTTTCATTAGTATCACTTATCGACCTATATTTTTGCGTTTGGATGGCTAGTTTCATGAATATATATTCGTAGGTAAAGGGTAAGGTGTTTACAAGGGAAGTCAACCGACGTCATTTCAATCTCACTCTCAATGACCCAGCTATTTTCATAATTTTCAAATTAAAAGCTTGTCAGTCGTTTCAACTAACTACAACGCTATTAGAAACCTCGCAAGGACGATGACACAGATCCATTCGGTCGATCGCCAGCTGCTGTACAGCATGTCAAAGTTTCTTGGACGGCCAACATACTATCAACAATAACCTCTATCATAAAACACACACTATATGCACTCACTATCATATACACTCTATCACAAATAACATACATATTATCTATAGTGTTCATACAACTTTGTTGATTGTTCACTAACATATATCCCCTTTGGAACGAAAAGAACAG